TGACAAGCTGGGATTTTTGTTGAAATATAAATTATCCATCTGGCAATTGAATTTCAATAATAAAAGGCAATGATTCTTCTTGTAAAATACTCTTATACCTCATAGAATTGACAGTGCCATCAATAAAAGGTGATGTCCAACTCTCCGAATTGGAGGACATACAGCCCGAGATCATCAGAGATACAGGGAACTTAACCTTTTATTTAAGGCAATATTTGTAAATTGTCTCCATGGTATTTGAATAACTCTACTTCGTGTATCACCAGCACAGATCACAAGCTTAGATTTATCACTCCAAATAAATGAATCTCATTGACGCTGAACTCTAGTTTGGTGCTTTTACCCATAATTAGTTTGAGTAGTTAAGATGAATTCACTGTCGCTTGTAAAAACTTATCTTGTAGAATCCAGATCCCATTTTTTATTATATTCAAATAAATGTCTTTTGACCAGATAAGTGTGATTGGTCTACCAACAGCATCGTTTTTACAGCTAATTCTCGAGATCAGCAATATTGTTTAATAAGTGTTAGATTACGAGTATCTCTTTCCATAATCTTTGAAGTACGACCAGTTTTAACTTCTGTTAATATGTCTAATTTTTTTTTTTTAATTGAGAGATAATATTTCCCACAGATTTTAAAATTTTGAGGAATTGTATGTCCAGAAAGTGCTTTGTTGTAGGTCGCAACAATGGAATTTCGTTAATTGTTAAATAAACACTTTCTGTGAAACATTTTGACATTTGACAAGTAACTAAATTAAATCACTTAACTACTGTCATATTTTTTTTCAAAGCACATTTCATAATATTTCCAAAAAAAGTTACACAAGAGATTTGATTACAATATTTATCACGGATTGGGTGATGGTGCAATTAACTTACCCAAGCATTCCTTTTTCTTTTTGTTTATTTTATAATTATTATAACAGTTGATACAAGTATTAAATATTGTTATTTAATTTATAACAGCTATGTTCTATATTGTTTTTGGTCTACTGCATATGAGTCTAAGCTCGTAGTTATTATAGTTATACAGTTAATATAGTAGTACAGTAATCCATTAAATAATATAAAATATTCTCTGTTTTTTAAAACAAGAGTCTTCAATAAATTTTATCTAAACAACAAAAAAACCCTATTAAATTTTTATAGAAAAAATTTAAAAGTAGCGAGAACAAACAAAATATAAAAATATCTGGACTCTAACAAATCAAAGTGTTTATCTGTTCTTTTTACTTTTTCGTCAATTTGATATCTTTTAAAGTTCATGTTGTAGGTCCAATTTTTTATGCAGCCATTGTTCCTATACTAATCTTTTTCACGTTTAATATTTTGTTGTTTTTATGTGACTTATAATTTCTTTAGAGTGGTAAAATTGGCTCTGTAGATCTTCGCTCGAATAGACAGAGGGCTATCGAGCGAGCTATGTTAAGAAATTCTCTGAGAGAACAAATAAGAAATGATGACGTGCGAAGTACGACGAAGATGGAAGATGTAATTGAAAGGATTGCTCAAATAAAATGGAGATGGGTAGGGCACGTGTTACGACAAAACAACGAAAGATAGACAAGATACATTCTATATTGTAGACCACGTGAGCATAGTCATAATAGAGGAGACCACACAAGCTATGGATAGACGACATCAAAGCAGGTGGAGACAAACTGGCATCTAATAGCACAAAACAGAAAAAAGTGTAGAAGTCATGGGGAGGCCTTTGTCGTGGAGTGAATACAAATTGGTTGTAGAAAGCTTGGCTCATGGACAAAAGAAGGCTCATTTCAAGCCCATTCTGGATGATACGGAGTGATACAATGGAGTTGCCCAAGAAGCATAACTGACCTAATGCCTTAGAAATATGCCCTGCTTTAATACAACCATAATCATAACTTTATACTCTGCAGATTTGTATATTCTGAAAGGTGCTATACACGACAGTTGTGGTTTTTAATTTGTTCATGGGGAGTTCCGTTGAATACCGAAGTTTTTGGTTTGGACGTATTAATTTCCAAGCTAAACTGGTTACTTTCTTTTGAATTACTTCCATCAATTCTGTTAATTTCTCTACCTATTAAACTAATATTACATTATCCTTATCAATGCTCTATATAAAAAAAATAATACCATTTAATCTACTACCATCTAGATGGTTTTGAAGGGATGTGTTCAGTTTATATATTATTAAGTTTTGGGGGAGACATCATGTATTTCTGACGAACTTCTGATTTTATAGTTATGTAATTTATTGATCTTGTAAATGTTTGTATGATCATATGATTTTTAGTTTGAATATTCGTTGGTAGTTTTTACTATATTGTATCCATCAATTCAGTCTTATGTCTTCTAGCTCTGTGATTAATTGTTCTTATTTAATGCAGTAGAAAACTTTACTATAATGAAGCATGTATTATGTTTTTTTACATATATATTATCCTCTCATGTGGTAATACTCAACTTTCAGGTGTAATTATGTAATATTAAAACATTTTAATATAATCTTCAAGGTATTTAAAGTGGTAACCTAACAGAAGTTATGTTATCGCAATGCTCTTTCTTGTGCTTGCTTGTTTGTTTCATAGCTATACAAAATATACAAAAGTTTTTCATGTCGAAATTTGAAAATAAAATAATCAATAAAATGATTTTGGCTGTCTTAATATATTTTTTACTACTCGTTTAGGAAATTTGTTAAATATTTATGGTACACACCTACCGTATAAATAATCTCAAATTACAATAATAATTAAGTGGGTGTTGAACGGATAATTGCTGAAGTGAAAACAATAGGCACCTAAAGTTAATTAATAATTACCACCTTGATTATCATTGAGATTTTAAACGATTTTACATAAAAAAGTACTTAACGAATTTACAATTTAAATATAATTTTCACACTCTCGATCTAACTTTATTAACTCTGTATGATTTTTCCCTTCTTGACTGAAATGTTTTTTAATTCCTATTCAGTCTTTACTAAATCTACATTTCAATATTTATAAGAAAATCTTCTATACTGACGTTCTATTACTTTTTCTTTATAGTAAAATGCTGTTTCGAGCGTCACGAAAGTAGCGCTCTACGGCCAACTTCATGAAAACATGATTTAAGTCAATTTTTAATTATAATTATACGACTTTTTTCTAAGGTTAGCTTTCACCCTTAAAAACTAAGTAGAAAATAAATTCAAATTTTTATGCAATTCGGTGGTGACACGGAAAATTACAGGGTATAGCTGTGTTTCAGGTTCATTTACAGGATTATACAGGGTGGTCCTTAAGTAATTGTACAAAAAGAAACCGCAGATTCTACACTTTAAAATATTACGCTTAACATCCTATTACAAAAATGCCGTCACCAAAGAAAATATGTATTTGCATGTTTCGTGGAACTTCGAAAAAGCATTCGATAAAGTACATCATGTAAAATTAATGCAAATACTGAAAAATATCAGCATAGATGACAAGGATATTCGTGTCATTAAAAATGTGTACTGGAATCAAACTGCTATCGTAAAAATTGGAGAGAACTATACCGATGAAATCCCCATACAAAGAGGAGTCAGACAAGGTTGCATTTTATCGCCAACATTGTTTAATGTTTACTCGGAAGAGCTATTTAAAAAGGCACTTGAGAGACAACCATATAAAATAAAAAATCAACGGGGAATTACTTAATGTGATTAGATATGCAGACGATACAGTGATTCTATCAGATAATATTGATGGTCTTCAAATTCTGCTTGATCGTTTTCACGAGGTAGCAGAGGAAATGGACATTAAAATAAACTCAAACAAAACTAAATTTTTAGTGTTTAGTCGTGACCCACATCCCGATGCAAAGCTTCAATTGAACGATGTCCAAGTTAAGACAGTTCACAAAATGACATATTTGGGAACTGTAATAAGTGACCAACTAGATCCAAACATAAAAATAAAACGTAGAATAGCAATGACTAAAACTACTTTTATGAAAATGAAGTAATTTCTTTGCAATAACCATTTCATTTTAGAACTAAGGCAAATAATGGTTAAGTGCTATGTTTGGTCTGTACTTTTGTATAGTGCAGAAGTGTGGATGCTAAAAGTATCAATCGTGAACAAAATTGAAGCATTGGAAATGTGGGTTCATAGACAAATGCTGAAAATACCTTAAACAGTAAGATAAACTAATGAAGAAGTACTAAGGAGCATCAACAAAGACAGAGAACTGCTAAAGACTGTTAAACATCGAAAAATATCTTATCTGGGACATGTAGTAAGGGGAAGTCGATATAAAATTTTACAACTGATCCTTACAGGCAAAATAAAAGGCCGTAGAGGTGTAGGAAGAAAACAAGTTTCTTTGTGTACGGAAGAAATATTTGCAGCATTTAAAAGAGTTCCTGTATTGTAGATTTTAATTTTTGTAAGGTAATCAGGATAACAAGCGTGACCAAATCTTATTAAGGTAATATATTTACGAGCAGTATTAAATTTCTTAAACCATCTGACCATCGTAAACCATATCAATATGATATTGTTGAATGTTCGACAAAAATTTGCTAAAAAAAAAAGTTATTCAACGATGTATACAATTTTTTTTTAGAGATAAGAAAAGCATGAAGAAAAAAGATCAATCACAAATTTTGAGCACAAGGGAACAAGAGGTTATTGTGGCTTTAACAATAGAATCAACATGTTTAATATATTTTATACCAACATGAGCTTTTACCCTAATAGAATTAGTGGTTTTACTTTTATTTTAAGGTTGACGAACATGTTCTTCATATGGTAAATGAAAAGATTAAAATTATAATTGGGTAACTTTGAGCTTTTGAGAGATAATTAAACCGACAATGATTCGGATATTATTAAAATTACATTACCGTTTAAACTGTCGAAATATATCAAGGCTTCAATAAATGATAGTGCTTCAGCTCTAAAAATTAAGCGATTGGGAGGATAAATTTTCTATAGTTATAAAATGAGTTAATGATTATAAACTTAAAAAGTACTCACCTTCTTGTACGTTTATCACTTTGTGCAATTCATCAAAAATATTTGTAGAGTTTTCCATTTTTTTCTAAATTATTGTACACGTATATAAAAATCGACAATATTTTAAATATTATTTGTTTGGTTTCTTTATTACTACTACTACTTTCTTCCTGATCGGACAAAGTTTCCTTGACTAGTATTTCACGAGCTCCTCGACTGATCCATATCTAAAAAATTACCAGTTTTAGGTGCATGGTCACAATCTCAAAACCAAAACCCCCGCACAATGGTCCAAATTTAAAATCTAACCGATAAAGCCGTGTTATCAATAAATCTACGGATGTATCGATAGCGTATGTACCTCGACCGTTCTGCTTTTTGAGAATAAATCAAAAGTCGCGGTCTTAAGGATGTACATGCTGCGTTCCAAAAAGTTAGTTTACCGTTAAATCATTTGGACGAATTGTAAGAACATTAATTAGACGTTTTACCATCCGACTATGAAGCACACAGTGGTCGGATAGTAGGTCAATATAAAGATCGTTGCTTTACTGCTAAAAGCGCAATAAAACTTATATTTTATTGCAATAAATCTTAATAAAGCCATTATTTATATACGTAATATGAAGAAGTCAATAAGATTTATATAGCTACTGCTAGTAAAACCTATTTATGATTTCTTTACAGCAGTGATTTTTATATAATGTAATTATTGACTACGGTTTAAGTTTAACTTTTTTTTAAATCACAATATTGTTTGAACACAAAAAAGTATTAGTAAGGCTTACAGTAAAAAATAGTAAAAATTAGTAAAACAGTAAAAAATAATAATTGTTATTCTTGTTTTAGTTTTTATTTTACAATATGCTTACTTAATGTTTTATAATATTATCTTCGTTATTAGTAATATACTACTAGATTTTGAAACAGATATTGTTTTTGTTGACAAACAAAATTAAGTGTGCAGTATGATTGATATATAGTATAATGTCTATGGAATAACAATAAAACACCACTTCCACAAAATTTATTATAATATTTTATCACTATGGCTGTTTCGTCAAAGTGCTCTTCTCAAGTTTATGGAACCCTATGGTCTGCCTTTCCATGAACTAAATTTATTATTTTCATAACAAACGACTTAAAAAATATCTTAAAACACGTCAATTTTAATTTTTAATTAAACAGCCATCAATTGCTGTATACATGTTGAACATTATGTCATAAGTGTTAAAATAATGACTTTATCGACGATTTTTTTAAATATAAACCGAGGTCTCATTTAAAACGTCTCCTAATCGCCATTACAACGACATACCATTCGTATATTTGTTTCTATAAGGTGAACCAAAACTATTTACTAAGTAAAGTAAAATGAAATAACACAAAATATTCATTAACCAAACTAAATTACATTAAGAACCACCACTAAGAATAAAACAAAGTTAAGTTTTTACTGGTCCAAAAATAGAAAAACGTTGATTGATAGCAATGCTACATTTTATCTGTAATTAATTATTGTAGCATCAGTCAAGTATTCGAAGTTACTTATACAAAAATATTTCAATTAGTATTGTCATTGACTGGTCGTTATTGTCAATGATCTATGAACCTGTCAAATAATACACGTCAAATTTTTACTGTTCTAATTTTTTTGCAGATATTAATAACACAATTAACATGAATAAAACTTATAAATAAAACGAGTCAAGATTTTAATTATTATTGGTTGTGAAGATAAAGTGAGGACTCTATGAGAAGTTCGTAATTTATTTACAGTGAACGTAATCTGACCCAATCCCGAACCGATTTCTTAGTCAACAATTAGAAAAATTTATAAAAAATAGAGAAACGGGTTATGTTAAAGATTCTCCAGAAGTGGTAGAAAATCAATACCCAAACCAGGAAAATGGACGTTTTAAAAAAAGTACTTTTTTTAATTATCTTTATTATAACTATTATGAAACAAACATATCTATCTAATATAAGTAATTTCAATTTAAAACAATCTATCTAAAATTTAAAATTCTTACAATTATTAAATTATTAACAAAATTTGGTACCTTTCTATCACTGAACGCCTAAAGTTTTTCCAAAATTAAAGTTATTATCACCACTCGATATCTTCTTACTCAACCTTGGTTATCCAACAATTTTAATATGTTTCTTCTTAATTATCTCCACTCACCATATAAATATATAAATTTAAATCCTTATAATTTCCATATAATGTACTTTCAAATATACTGTATTTTGTGGTTGAACTATTTAATACTTACTTCAATGAATTCACTGTCACTATATTACTGTAGTACTTCACACTGTCACTATATTACTGTAGTAATAATTAATCTCCAACTGTATTTGACTTAATTAATTCATTTCACTTAATCAATGCCTTCTTCTAGCTAATAATCTCTTCATAACCTCATAAATTCTTCTTAATTCTTCTTTGTAATTAATAATCACATGTAACTGACTTAATAATCCTTGAATTCTTAAATTCTTCAAACTAATTCGCTTAATAATTGACTATAACTTCTTGTAACTTAACTCACTTCACGAATAAACTGTAACTTACTTAATAATAATCATCTGTAACTTAATGCCTTGAATTCTTCTAACTAACTCCTTTAATAATCTTCTTGTAACTAAATTCTTGAATTCTAACTTTACTAACTAACTCTCTTAATAATCATAATCTGTAATTGACTTCATTTCTTCTCACTAACTCCACTAACTAATTGCCTGCTCCAAATTACATGATATATATATTTTTTTCATGGTTCCAGAATAATCTAGCAATAAATAAGGTTCGAATCGTTCTATTTTTTCTATCTGAACATTCTGGAATAAATGGAATAAATGAAATGAGGTTGAATGCTCGAATAAATGAACTTTGAAAATAAGGCTATTATCGAGCACAAGTTAATTAAATCTAGCCCAAGTACTTTCGCTTAAAAAAGCATCTTCAGGGGCATTTCGTCAAAATAAGAACTATCCGGCAAGCGTAGGATGTGGAAACATTAAAACTAACATAAATTATACAAAACACTACACTAAAACGAGGACAAACAGTTTAAAATTAGACAAAATTACTTCTACGCTACATTACGCTACGAGGGATAATCCCTCCAGAAACTGACAGAGAATGTAGCGTAGAAGTAATTTTGTCTAATTTTAAACTGTTTGTCCTCGTTTTAGTGTAGTGTTTTGTATAATTTATGTTAGTTTTAATGTTTCCACATCCTACGCTTGCCGGATAGTTCTTATTTTGACGAAATGCCCCTGAAGATGCTTTTTTAAGCGAAAGTACTTGGGCTAGATTTAATTAACTTGTGCTCGATAATAGCCTTATTTTCAAAGTTCATAATGGAATAGTTTTTGTATATGTGATGGATTATGCAAATAGTCCTATTGACGTTCTTAGAACTTTCTTTGGTCTACATGTACAATTTAACTGACTTTTAGGTTCTTCATATCAGAATTACACTATTATATATGTAACTTAAACATTTACATCAAATATATTATTACGATTTCACATCCGCAATTATATTTTAAATTAACATTCCAAATAAATAATCTCCTTTTTGACTTTGACACTACAGTGTATATCTGGTTGCATATACATATGGCTGATATATATTTATAATTATTAAAAAAAAACTTTTAACATTATATGCTAGATTCCTTAAAATACCCTCATATAATTATTATTTAATAATATTATCTAGTATATAATTTATAAATTATGTATTTAATTACTATTTAAATAAATTTATTAGTTAACAGTGTATATCTGGTTGTATATACACCTGGCTGACTTAAATATATTTTTATGCTAATTTATTGTATTTCTGTTCTCATTACAATATATATATAATATATATATATATATATATATATATATATATATATATATATATATATATATATATATAAACCTAGAGCTAATATTAATCATATAACAGGAACTAATATTAAGCTCACCAGTCTTCTGGGATGAACCGCGTCAATTTTCAATGCCCTGAGCCCCCAGACACTACTATACTGATCACTTATCAATGCACAGTCATTCAATTTTTGTCATCATCATCATCATTGGCTTTTACAAGTCTTCCTGAGTTTTTGCTGCGTTTACTATTGCCTTCCATTGATTCCGATCCTGTGCTATTATTTTCCATGGCCTTACTTCCATCTTCTCCAGGTCTTTCCTGACTGCGTCTTTCCACCTTTTTCTAGGTTTTCCTGTCGATCTTCTACCATCTGGTCTTTCCCAAAACACATTGCTAATCAGTCTGTCGTCATCACTCCGTACCACGTGGCCTGCCCATCTTAATCTATTGGCTTTTATGTATCTTACGATGTTTCCTTTCCGAAGAGAGTCTCTATTTCATTGTTGTATCTACTCCTCCATTCATTTGTCACGTTGTCCCTGCAAGGACCATATATAATTCGCAGGATTTTGCGTTCCCATACTAATAGCTTATTGATTTCTTTCTTTCTCAATGTCCATGTTTCACTTCCATATGTCACTGCTGGTCGTATTATGGTTTTGTTCTTCTTTATGTGCCGTCTTCTACCGAAGGTTGGCGACCATCATACGATAGGTTTCTCTGTTTTGTGCTGCATGAATTATGTTCGCAGCTTCTGGTATTTGAAACCATTCTCTCAAGTTTCTCAGCCAGGATTTCTTCTTTCCGCCCAAACCTCTTCTACCTTCAATCTTGCCTTCCACGATAAGCTGTAGCAGACTGTACTTATCATTACGGAACACATGGCCCAGGTATGACGCTTTCCTCCTTTTAACAGTTGTTAACAACTGTTTTTGTACAATATTTTTGTACATTTGGATTTTGGCACGTTTCTTCGTTTATTATTATTTATTCAATTTTTGTGCTAGAGATTATTTATTACCACAAAGATTTGGACAAACAAGAACAACAATCCGGCGACTTAACTCAGTATGGTGGGATAGACACCTAAATATGAAGACAAAAACACAGATTTATAAAACATTAGTACGAATTATTATGACATATGGGGCTGAAAAATGAATAATAAGAAAAACAGCAGTAAAATAGTAGCAACAGAGATGGAATACCTGCGAAGATGCTGCAGAGTAACAAGAATGGATATGAGAAGTAATGACGAAATAAAGCAAAGAACATCAATAGAAACAGACATACTATTGAACAAAAAAGACTAAAGTGGTATGGACATG